AAGCCCCTAGCAACCAGCATTTTACTGTTTCTATGAATTTGACTCCTCTAGGTATCTCATGTAAGTGGAATCATACCATATTTGTCCATTTGTGCCTGGCTTATTTCACTTAGCATAATGTCTTCAAGGTTCATCCACTTTTTAGTATGTGTCAGAATTTTCTTCCTTTTTAAGGCTGAATAATGTTCTATTATTATGTATATACCACATTTTGTTTATCCATTTGTACTGTCTTTTTTTTTTTAAGATTTTTTGATATGGACCATTTTTTTTAAGTCTTTATTGAATTTGTTACAATATTGCTTCTGTTTTATGTTTTGGTTTTTTGACTCTAAGGCATGTGAGATCTTAGCTCTCCGACCAGGGATCAAACCCACACGCCCTGCATTGGAAGGCGATGTCTTAACCACTGGACCCCCAGGGAAGTCCCTGTGTTGTCTTTTATACTTACCTATATATTTACCATTTCCCATATTCTTCATTCCCACTTACAGATCAGAGTTAGTGTTTAGTGCCATTTCCTTTCTGCCTGAAGATTTTCTTTGGTATATCTTGTTGGACAGGTCTGTGGGCAATAGTTTGTCTCAGTTTTCATTTATCTTGGAATGTGCTTATTTCATCTTCATTTATGAAGAATGTTTTTGCTGGATCTAGAACTGGTAGTTTTAGTTTCTTTCTGTCAGTGCTTTGAACGTGTCATTTCACTGCCTTCTGTCATGTGTTGTTTCTAATGATGAATCAGCCTTTAACTGTATTATTGTTCCCCTGTCCATGATGAGTCCCTTTTTTCTTGCTGCTTTCAAGATTTCCCTGTTTTTGTTTGGCTTTTGTATTTACTTAGCAGTTTGACTAAGTTGTATCTAGGTGTATCTCTTTGTATTTATTTTACTTTGGTTTGAAATTCTCTGAGGTATGTAATGTTTTCATCAAATTTGAGAAGTCTTTAGTAATTATTTCTTGATATATTTTTGGTTGAAAACTAGACATTTTAGTTAGTAGATTATAGTAATTCCTGAGTTCTGTTTTAATTAATTGTTTATTTTTTAACTTGCCTGGACTTTAACTGTGGGATCAGTGTAGACTCCCTTGTGGTATACAACTGCTGATGTCTCTGCTGAGTTTTTTAATTCTTGTTTTTTGGACTGGCTTCCTTAAGGGTCTTCCCTGTGTCTGCGTAACTCACTTGTTAGCTAATGATTTGGGCAGAGGTAGTAAATACCTTTAGCCTGAAAGGCTTCCACCCCGTTGCTGATTGGTCTGTGTGTGGGTTTGGAAGTACATTCACAGTTAGAGCAAGTTCTTAAGTATCCCTTGGCTTTGTTTTATGCCAGGCTTCCTTAGGTCTCCCCCAGAAATGCATAGCTTGCTGTTTAACCAGGGGTGTATGGTGAGCTTATTACAGACCTTCTATGGCTCTCTAATTTACATGATCTTTCTCTTAATTTTCTGACTACTCAGGCACTTACCCTGACTAGGACCTCAACCTCAGACCTCAACTGTAAATTTTCCCTCTTCATTCCCACCAAGTTTACCACTTTTCTCCACCAAAGCCACAGATTTTCACTGCCCCACCCTGAAATGAGTCCACCATTTTTGCTAACAAAGCTGCTGGGTTCTTTTTCCTAGTTTCATGTTGGTAAAAATGTCAGTCTTGTCATCCTGGCTGGAGGTGGGTGGTTGGGAGTAACCTTAAGCAGGTCAGAGCCTCCCACTGTTCTTACCTATAACTTTAGCAGTTCTTCTAGAATAAACACTTATCAATTTGCAGGCTGCCTTTGGTTAATTCCCACTGCCCTGAATTGGTTGTTTTTGATAAATTTGTCTAGATTTATACTTGATCTTTATGGATGAGAATTGCCAACCTCTTCACAGCTCCATAAAACCTGCACATTTTCTTCTGTGGATGAATTTCACAGTTACTTATCAAGCTCCCTAAGAGTTCTTCTGGTATTTTGATTAGATTTACACTGACTTATAAATTAATTTGCAGAATATCAAAATATTGAGATTTTCTTCCAGGAATGTGGCATTTATCTCCATTTATTCAGACTTACATTTTATATCCCTCAGCAAAATTATTTAGCTTACATATAGGGCTGGCTCGTATTTTGTGAAGCTTACTTGTAGCATTTTAAAAGCTTTTCTGGCAGTTACTAATGAAATGACTTTTTCCATTGTATTTTCTAATTGTTTATTGCCAGATTGTAGGAAAGTTAGTTTTAAGAGTTTGTATAAATTGACCTTGTATGTGATTGCCTCGCTGAACTCTCCTTTTCATTCTAATAGTTTGTCAGTTTATATATTTGTGTTCTTTTAGGTAGTCTACCGGATTATTTGCAAATAATGATGGTTCTATCTTTGCATAATCTATATTTGTATTTCTTAAAGTTTTTTCATTAAAAAAAATTACTTATTTAAAAAATTCTGTTGTGTAGGTTATGCCCGCTAGGAAAATAGTAAAGCAGTAGGCATATTGGCCTTAGGGACTTTACTAGAAATATTTTTAATGCTTCACCATGAAGCATAATATTGTGTAGGTCCTTTTATTGATCTAAAAATTTTTTTCTTAGTATCAAGGGTATTTTGACATGTAGTGAGATCATATTATTTTTCTCTTTTGATTTCCTAATATCATAGATAAGAAATACATCATTGATCAAGATGTATTATAATTTTAATATTTTTCTTGATGGAGTTTTCTAGTATGTTATTTATTATTTTTACACGTAATAAATGAGATTGGCTTAAAAAGAACAATGCCTGATAAACCAGAGATTCATTCCAAATTAAAATAATTATAGATTTCCCTTTCTTTAGGAATTTCGTTTAGGAGCTGCTCATTATTCTCCCATTACTTATATTTGCTGTCTGTATTAAACTAATATCCCATACTATATGGCGTCCTTTTTTGAGCAGTACAAAGCACTTAAAATCCAGTTCCTTCAGTGCGGTGATTGTTTTTCTAGCTTTCTGAGTTACTACACATTCCTCCTTTAAGTGGTATATTCCCCTTATTATGTTTTTTTAAAAATAAGACCTTCAAGGATTGTTTAACATTTGTCTGTCTCTGTTTCTCTTTGCTGTACGTAGTCTGCCTTTATCATAATCATAAGGTATTACCTTCTTCATGTTTTTCTGTTCATTCTAGTTCCTTATGTCACCTGCTCTTTGAAGCCTTTTTAAATCCTTCTTCTTCCTCATTAATCCCTAGGACTATTTTTGTGTTTCTAATATAGCCTATTATAAACTGCATATACATATATCTTTATATGCACACATGCGTGCGTGCGTGCACACACGCGTATTTCCCTTAACTACATCTTGGCATAATAGAAGAACTTTCTTGTTACTTTTGGTTATAAGAACAGTCTTGTTTTTGGTAAGTAAGACTCAGTCTTATGCATTTTTAAAAACTTTTCAAAATTCATTCTGCATAACAGGGATCATGAGGGGTGAAGGTGTTCTGACTCTTCACATACTTTTTCCTCCTTCCTTGTGTTGGGGAACAGAGGAAGGAGGGAAAAAAGGCAAACATATTACTAAACTGGGGGAAGTTGTCATCTTCTTCTTTTAGGTTGTGGCTGCCTCTAGCTAACACTGACTGTTCATCATGGCCTATTATCAGGCATTTAAATGCTGGTTCATTGCCGCATGCAGATTCTTTCTGGCCCAACCTGTTGGCAGCTCAATGCGGCTCTCTGAATTTAGGACATATAGTAATTAGCATCTTTTGTGCTTAGTTTAGGCCTTAGGTGCAATTCTGGGATTATAAGAAACTCCTGTTAGTAATCTGTGAAATTTATTCTAAAATAAATGTTTCATGGTATAATAGGAAAATAAACAGTCTCCAGAAGAGGGTATTAACTCATGCAAATATTACAGAGTACCTCTTCAGTGCATGGTTTTCATACCTATAATGTTAATTCTATATCCTAAAATAATTCAGCCTCTAGGAAACTTTTTCCCAGCATGTCATTCTAGAGCTGTGTCAGATGTCCTATTTAAAAATAAATTAATTTAAATTTACATTAATGAAACGTAAATAAAATTACCAATTCAGTTCCTCAGTCACACTAGCCCCATTTTAAGTGCTTCATTAGCCATGTGTGACTAGTGGCTAATGTATTGGATAGTACAGAACATTACTACCATTCAAAAAAGTTCTGTTAGACACTGCTTCTCTAGAGGATAGAGGTGAGAAACTTTTGTTACCATAGGAAGGTTAGGTACATGGAGTCGACCATATATACTAACCAGTTACTCTGTTTCACAGGGACTTTTTTTTCTTGCCCATATGAGGGAAGTTTGTGAAAGGGAGAAAAATTGGCACACGACTGAGCAATGTATTGCTTTCAGATTCATCTGATATTTAGCTTTTCGTGTGGAAATGTCAAATAACTGCTACTGCAAACATAGTTGACAGCAAGATTCAAAGTTCAAACATTTCCACCCACCAGAGACGAACTCCCTAGTTCCTCCTTCCTATTCCCTTCTTATTATTCCCTCATTCCTCAGGTGAAGGTTGGCACAACTTCAGTCCTAAGACAAGGTAAGACTGGCATTGGTAGAAAGGCGAATGTTTGCATATGTGTATTTGTGTGTGTGTGAAGATTTGGGGACAAGTGACTTAACTTTCAGAGTAATAAATTCTTCTTCTTCTTTTTTTATTAACCAAGCCCTTAGATATCATCTAATTGAATGCCTGTCCACATTTTACATGCAAGTAAACTGAGGCTAGAGAAAGTGAGTGCACAAGAACATATCAATAGTTAATGGTAAATCTGGAACTAAGACCTTTATTCAGTGACACCATATCATTGAGCATTCTGCTAAATCATTTACCATTCCCATTTTAATTCTTTATTCACTGTTAACTATTGCTGCAAATTTAATGACAAGTGTTTAAAGGTAAAAATAACTAATTATTATAATGAATTTCTTATTTTTAAAATATTGCTTTTTGTATGTTTTAAAGGATTTGGTAATTTTAATTTTTTCAGATTGAAGAAGAAGAGAGGAAAAGAATAGAAGATATGAAAGAAAATGAACGGATAAAAGCAACTAAAGAATTGGAAACCTGGAAAGAACATCAAAGAAAAGCCGAAGAACATAAAATAATTCAGAGAGAAGAAAAATTATATCAACAAGAAAAGCAAATTGAGGAAGAGAGAAAAAAATTAAAACATAAAGGTCTTACTAGGAATTCAGTATCTAGAAATCTTGCCACAAAAGGTACAATGATTACTTAATATTTTCTGGGAAAGTGAGTCCTGTTAGTGAAGTATATATGTCAGAGTGTGTGTGTGTGTGTGTGTCTGTGTGTGTGTGAATGAATCTATCCACAGTATTAGGTCATTATTTTGGTATATGAATTACTGCAATACAAAGACTAAGGTGAAAGACTTATTCCTTCTTCTAGGAAGTAGTGAAGTTTTCATAATAAAATGAGCAAAGATTCAATATTGCTTTTACTCATGTACTTCCTTTAGAAATTTATGCAGGTGTTGTTAAATATGTGTTTAACTCAGGTGCAGTAAGACTTGGAGTGAATTAGCAGTACCAGGAGCATTCATTTATTTCTTTAGAGATAAGAAAATAGGAATTTCATTAAAAGACCTTTTCATCACATAACTCAGGAAAATGAGTACTGTTAAGCAAACTTCACTCTAAGCAGACAAGAACTCTACTGGCCTTTGATTCTGGTGTATTCAAAAATAGGTGAGAAGGCAATTTTCTTTATTGAAAGCTAAGAGTTTGTTTTTATCTGATTTTAGAATATTAAACTTTGTTTTGGGTTTCTTTATGTTTAGTAAATGGAATGTTTTGTAGTTAAATCACTTACGTAATAGTGACAATTAACATTTCTTGGGTGATTACTATATTCCAGGTAATTTTATTGATTGTATCACTCAATCCTCACAACAGCACTTTGGGGTAAGTGCTGTTATTCTTATTTTAAAGGAAATAGGTGTTTTGAAAGGATAAACAACTACCCAGTAAGCAAACCTATAGGATTTGAACCCAGATCTGATTCTGAAACCTATGTTCTTTTCAAAGGCTACATGCCTTTACTACTTTAACAGTGAGGTTTAGCATGTTAAAAAGTCATTTAGAGTAAATATTAAGCAGTAGCTTTATTAAATTTATATATTTTTGTGGTTTAATATTGACATGCAAGTTAACTACTACACTATCTCCTTCTTTAATGCCATTTCAACAAAATATTGATACAACTGGAGTATTTGAAAGCATTTCCTTCCTAATTTCAATTACTTCTAAACAAATAGGATGTTTTAAAACACTGGTGGAACCCAAACAAACTTTTGTATATAAGAGATATCCTGAAGATGTTTTAAAAAAATTCATCCAAGGATACAAGGGAATTAAACATGGTGGAGGAAAAAAATGTATAAATCAGCTTTTTTTGGATTTTTTTTACTCTAGAAGTCCTTTTTTTTCCTTATTTCAGTAGTATCATTATGGATGACTGGTAGCATCCTTTAGTAGGCTTTGGTTACTTTCTTCCATCTCGTCCATGCATTTAACAAATATTCATTTACTCAGTGTCTCCTCTGTACTAGGAGTTATAGAATATACAAATATGACTTAACGTGTGGCCAGTGCCTAAGGAACATAAAATGTTGTAGATACAAATAACTTCAGTTAGCTGGGATTTGTGAGTAACGGCTTAAAAAATTGACAAATGTCTCATTGGCCAGTAAAGTTAGACCTCTTAAAGAGGAAAACTTGGCTGCTCCTAAAAAGTCTAATGCTACTGTTTTAATGCCACCTTTAACTAAAAATGCTCATTTGATAACATTTTTAACTATAGAAAGAATATTGTATTATTTGCCCCAGAAACGTTCTTGAGACAAGCTACTTTTATAGTATACTGAATACAAATGGTGTGGTGGGTGCTGTAGATTGCCTACTCAATATATACTCTCCTTTTCCTTTTTTACCAATAGAATCATGATTTGGGGGTGGGGGACAGAAGAAATGTGTCCAGCTTAAAAACTTACCTCTTGGAAGTTTGAGTATTGATTGGATATTTGAAGAAATTAAGGAATAATTACATTTTTTTCTTTAGATGTGATAATGGTATTTTCTTTAGATGTGATAATTTATAAAGTCCTCATCTTGTAGAGATGCCTACTGAAATATTTATAGGTAAATATAATGTCTGAGATTTGCTTCAAAATAATATGGTATGTGAAAGTGGATAGAGGTAAAGATGAAATGGTGTTGGCCATGAGTTGATAATTGAAGTCACATCATGAATGCATGATTGTGATTATTCTATCCTGTCTACTTTTGTACATATTTGAAATTTTTTATTATAAAATGAAAAAATAAGGAACAAAGCACAGTGATTCATTTTTACAAACAAAGTAATTTTAAATTAGTTTAAAAAAAAAAGGGAAAACAAAATTTACTTCCTCACACTCTCTTGTAACTGTATGTAGCCAAGTGGCACAGTTCTGGCTCTTGAAATGCAAGAAGAAATCTACTAAGGATTTATAGAAAAGTATTACTTTTCTGAGATAAGTGTCCCCAGTTCCTTTCTGCTTGCTCCCCCTTTCCTTTTTCTACCTAAGATGAAGATCTTTGCCAAGAAGTGCATTAACACTTCTTGAGATCATGAAGAGGCATGCTATACATTAAGAATGATAGAACAGGGAAGAAGAAAGAGCCTGGGACATTAATGACATTGGAAAGCTGATAAATCGTGCTGAACTATCTTTCTTCAAGCTTGTTAAGTGAGAAAAATAAACCCATGTTTGGTTAAACCACTGTAGTCATGTTTTTTTTTCACACAGCCTAGAGAATTTTTGACTTCTGGAAATGGGTAATGGAAGGGAAGGTTGATTTAGCATTTGAAAATCATTCAGTATAATTATACTAACAGAACAAAGGACAAATGTGATTATTTCAATATTGCAAAGAGGCATTTGACAAAATCCAACACCCATTTATAATAAAAAATTGGACTAGAAAGAAACTTTCTCAACCTGATAAGAGCCTTCTACACAAAAATCTATAGCAAACATCATATTTACTGATGAATTAATGTGTACTTTGTCCCTTAGGTTGAAGAGCAAGGCAAGCATGTCTGTTTTCACTACCTCATTCAACATTATACTAGAGGTCCTAACTGCTGCATTAAGACAAGAAGAAGAAATAAAAGCCATGAAGATTAGACAGGAAGAAGTAAAACTGTCTATTTGTAGATGACATGATTGTCTATGTAGAAATCCCTAAGGAATCTACAGATAACTGCTAGACCTAATAAGTGAATTTAGCAACGTCTCAAGATATAAGATAGCAAAAATCACTTATGATTTTATTTATCAACAGCAAATAATTGGAAAATTAAACTTTAAACAATTTATAATAACACTAAGACACAAAATGTTTAGGAATAAATTTAATAAAAGAAGTGTAAGATCTCATCACTGAAAAGTATAAAAAATTACTGAGAGATATTTTTAAAGGCCTAAACAAATGGAGAGATATAGCATGTTCATGAATAGGAAAACTCAATATTGTTAAGATGTCACTTCTCCTTAAATTGATGTATAGATTTAATGCAATTCCAACAGAAATACCAGTAAGCTTTTTATAGAAATCGACAAGCTGATTCTAAAATTTATATTAGAATGCAAATGACCTAGACTAGCTAAAGAAATTTTTAAAAATAAGAACAAAGATGTTGGACTTATACTACCTGATTTGAGGACTTAACATCAAGCTACAGGAATCAAGATAGTGTGGAACTGGTGAAAGGATGAACAGAAAGGTCAAAAGAATGGAGTACAGTGAGCAGAAATAGATCCTTACCTGTGTGGTCCGATGCTTTTCATCAAAAGCAGAACAGTTCAATGGGGAAAGGAAAGTCTGGAACAATTGGGTATCTATGGAAACAAATGAACATTGATTCTTGCCTCACCGTGTACGTAATATATACACAGAAGACAAACTACCCAATAAACAATTAGACAAAAGATTTGAATGAACTTTTCACAAAAGAAGACATATGAATGGTCAATATGCACATGAAATGATGTTCAACGTCATTAGTAAGGAAATGCAAATTAAACCACAGTGAAATATAGTACATATCCACTAAGATAGCTAATATTAAATATTAGAGAGTCCATCAGTACAAAGTGTTATTGAGGATGTGCTACAGTTGGACCTTGTACAATGATGGTCAAAATATAAAATGGTACAACTACTTTGGAAGAGTGTCAACTGTCATATAACCTGTCATATAACTCAACCATTTTAGCCCTAGGTATTTACACAAGAGAAATGTGTCTACCTAAAAACTTGTATTCAAATGTTTACAGCAGCTTTATTTACAATAGTGAACAACTGGAAACAATGTCCATCAACAGGTGAATGGATAAACAAATTATGAAATACATTCATAAAATGGAATATTACTCTTCAATAAAAAGGAGACAACTGGGACTTCCCTGGTGGCCCAGTGGTTAAGAATCTGCCTGCCAATGCAGGGGACACAGGTTCGATCCCTGGCCTGGGAAGATCCCACATGCTGCAGAGCAACTCAGCCTGTGCACCACAACTACTGAGCCTGTGCACCTAGAGCCTGTGCTCTGCAACAAAAGCCACTGCAATGAGAAGCCCACGCACCACAATGAAGAGTAACCCCTGCTCGCCACAACTAGAGAAAGCCCATGCACAGCAGTGAAGACCCAATGCAGTCAAAAATAAACAAATTTATTTTTTAAAAAAGAAACAACTACTGATACACATGACATGAATGAATCACAAAATTATTCTGAGAAAAGCAAGACACTAGTCCATAGTGTGTGAAATTCTAGAAAATACTAACTAATTTATAATGACTGAGAGCACATCAGTGGTTGCCTGGGGCCAGGAGTGAAGGGAAAGGATGAACTTCACAGGGTTATAGGGGACTCTTAGAGGTGATAGAAATTTTCTGTGTTGATTGTGATTTCAGGAGCACGTACATCTGTCAGAACTCATTTAATATACTTTAAAATGAGTATAGTTATTGTACGTGATTATTTCTCAATAAAATTGAAAAAATAATGTTTATTGATTTTAGGCAGGAAAGCATCAAAGTGTGCATGATTTCCTCAAGTTCTTACTATTCCACAGAGTTATGCTTAGGGCCAGGCATAGTGAGGCCATTCCCCCAAAAGGCTCCAATTGAGGGTCCCTGCTCTTGTACTGTTGTC